ATTTGGTTCACAGCTGACTATTTTTTATAATTGATTTACAAATTACAATTTCTTGTAAACTTATTAGAGGATCTATTTAATTGATGAAGTTAATATTATTTAATGATTTCATTAACTTAGAATTCCTTGAAAAGTTCAATCTTTTTGAAGACCAATTCCCTATATAGTTGGGTTTTAGGTTGACTTGCATATCCTTTAAGAATGCTCAGTTCCAAATTATTTCACTTACATGTTCAAACAAAAAATGGATAATGTAAATTGTTCGAATTAGAGCTGAATCGGATGATTCATTTTAATTTTATGCTGTTCCAATTTAAAATGGGAATAATCTGATAAACATTGTTTAAATTAGTGCTGATTCATAAATATTATTTCATTTATTCTTTCATGCCATTGGAATGCCAAAAAGGAAAATAAATAAATGTACATTGTTTGAACTTTGAATTAGCGTTGAATCATATTATTTTGTTTATTCCTTTTTACGTCTTTGGAATACCGAAAGGAGAAAAATTAATGTAAATTTTACGATTTAGTGTTCTCGATGAGTGATGATGTACATTGCATAAGATGAGTGTTGACTACTCAACATTGGGATTCTAAGGACATCTCCAATGGTTGTACCGTTGCACCATTTTTTGGTGTAAAGTTGGTCCAATGCAATACCAAACTTTGCACCATTTTGGTGCAAAATGGTGCAAAGTGAATAGTGCTGGACCATATTTGGTGCAGCACTATTCATTACACCATTTTTTTGCACCAAATGGTGCAATGTCCATTTTGCCCTTTTTCATTTTTTAAAGATAATGGTTAAGGATATTTATGTCATTTTCGTTCTATAATAATAATAATAATAATAATAATAATAATAATAATAATAAAAAATTACACTATTAATTATATTATTAAAGTTTATTATTTTTAATAATATAATCAATGATAATTAACGTAATTGTTAATTTAACGTAAAGTTTATTATTTTTGTAAATTTAACGTAATTGTTTATCATAAATTAATAATATAATCAATTATTTTTATCAATTTAACATAATATATAAAACATGTGAATAATTTAGTAATCAATATATTTGTCAATTTAATGAAGTTATGATTTAATAATTTATATATAGTTATAAAATAAATAAATAATTTTTTAAAATAAATACATTGAGAAAAATCGAAAGAATAAATAAAATAATAAAGCACTGTTCATTTGGTGTAAGTTTTGGTATAATGGTTGTAGAAGAATTTTGGTTTGGTGCAAAATTTGGTACAAAATTTGGTGCAAAATTTGGTGCAGTGCTAGAGATGGCCTAATATCCATGTTTGTCATCAAAATACTAGAGACAAATACAAAGTAAAATCATTGAAAAGAATTCATAGTAGGTTTTATGTGCATCTCTTTTATATATATGGTGAAAGCATATGATTCTTCAATAATATCTTTGTCCCAATAAAAAACTTAGAATCTCAGAAATTCTTTTTTTTTTTTTTTGCAAGGTCTGTGTGGAATTCAATGTATTATGATTGAAAAGAACTATGGTGTTAATTAAAAAAATTAATGTACAAATTGTTACCACCTCGTCAGGTTTCATAGGATTTTGAAACATGATTTCAGTTTTGTGTTAAATTGTATTGGTGGAACCCAAATTATATTTGTTGTCTATTATGTGAAATAAAACTTGGCATGCGTGAATTAATTAAGGGGGTTACGGGAACTTATTAGGAGAAAAGTTGTGAAATAGCGTTAATGGAAATCAAGGACATGTTTCCTTGCGTCAAATAATTTCTGTTTGTTATTCCCATATGTGATATTGCTTGAATTGACTTAATTAAGTCAGTTGAAATGGAAATATAAATTAATAGAAATGCATGAATTAGTGCTTAATGATATTATTTCGTTTATTCTTCTGTGCCAATGTAATGCCAAAAAGGAAAAATAAATAAATGTGCACTGTTTGAATTAGCGTTGAATCTTGTGATTTATTTATCGATTTATGTCGTACGAATGTCAAAAATGAGAAAAATCTAATGCAATTTTTTTGGGTTACTGTCGTCGATGAGTGATGATATACATTCCAAAATACGAGAGTTAACTGTTCGACGTTGTAGGTATATAAATAGGTTCAGAATAGTACTGGTTGTCATCAAATTATTAGACAAACACAAAGTAGGAAGATTTCATTATTTATACTGTAATAGCATATGATTAGTCAAATATATTTGCGTTTTAAAAAAATCTTAGCATCTAAACAATTATTTTATTTAAGGTTTGTAAAATGAGTTGGAATTCAATGATGTCTTATTGAATATAACTATTTTTCTTTTTAAACATTTAAAATCTTCTACGTATACTAATAAAACTGTTTTTGCAATGTAGGAAAATGATTGGATTTGAAAGAGAAAGGTTGCAGGTATGTTCACTGACAAGGAATCTGCTAGTTTTCATGGACTGTTTGAGAAAAGAGAATGTGGTTGCACTGTTACCACGTTAGTGCACTTGGAAACCTAGAGTTTCAGTTGATGAAAAACTTGAGATTGAATGCAAATTATTTGAAAATAGTTCTAAGGGTTCTCTCCAAATTCAAACTAACATCTTATATTGAATTAGGAAAAAATAAGTCTCTTTTAAAAACGCAGAGGAGAGAGAAAAGCAATTTGGGCGAATTGGGTGATTTCACAAAAAACCATTAGGGCTCGAGGCTGAATCTCATCTGCAGACGGGATTACCATGACTACCGTCTTGCCAGTGCAACCAGCTCTGGCAGGGCTTTCCGGTGAGCATCAGGGTGGAGCCACAATAGGTGGGTTTCCGGTTGGAGTGCAACACAACAGATTGTATTCGGAGGTTGTCAAGCCGCGCGAGAAAACTGGGATTAATCAGACGGTGATAAAAATGGATATGGCCATCACAATGTGAGGTCCAAAATTGATTAACAGTGAGCTTGGGTTTATTTTTACAAATGTGGAAGAGAAGACCCTATCTGAGGACTTACGGTTTGCTTTGGTGATGAAATTCCTTACGGTGAGGCCAAATATTGATGTGGTTCAACGGACAGTTAATAAAACTTGGGGCCTTCAAGTGATTCCAGTAATTAGCTACATGGATGCCTCACATGTGCTGATTCAATTGAAGAACGAGGCAGATTACTTGCATGTGTGGACAAGAGAGGATCGATCGTTGGCTGGGGCGACATTTCGTCTCTTGAAATGGTCGGTCGAGTTTGATCTTAATAGAGAATCTTCTATTGTTGCACAGTGGATCTTTTTACCGGGTTTGTCGATGCATATGTATAGTCTAGATTGCTTAAGAATTTTGGCGACTCGATTTGGAAGATACTTGGGGACTAACCATGCAACATTGAATTGGTCTCGGGCCACATGGGCTAGAATGTGTATTGAAGTGGATTTCCTTGCAGAACCAGTCAGTAGTTTTCCTATTGTTACTTCATCGAAGACATTTTGGCAAGAGGTTCAGTATGAGAAGCCATGTTTCTATTGTATCAAATGTGGTCGGCAAGGTCATCCTGAATCTATGTGTCGGGTTGGACAGAGCCGTGTGCTCCCTCAAAAAGTGATGGAGAGACAGGAATGGTGCAAGAAAGAAGGGCAGGATATGGCGAAAAATAAAGATAAGGTGGATGAAATAGTTGGGCAACTGGAGATTACTCGAATTAAGAAGGGGGAATCGTCGGTGGGGGTAGGTAAATTTGTCAAGGAGAGTGAGAGTTTGTGTGATGCTATGGTGAGGTTTAAGGAGGTTGACCCCTTGGTGAATACATGAGATAGTGGTTCGACTAGGGTAGGGAAAACTCAAATTGCAGAGAGGGAGCTTGAACTATTGGAGGATGAATTAAGTGAGGATTTGACTATGAAAGATGATTCAACACATGTTGATATAGGTGCAGGGAAGGAAGCTTCGTCCAGCATTGACATTGTGAAGGACTTTTTCAAAGTGGTTGATGAAGATTTGGAGGCCGTAAATGACCAGATACCAGTAGGGAATGAGAGGTATCCTATTGATGGTGATGATGTGAATGTGCAAGATGGTGGAGAAGAACAACAACAGCGTCCTATCCATCATGAGTCTAATTGTGAAAAGGAAATAAGGGGATGCGAAGGGAAGAAAGACCCAGACTATTGGTCTAATTTAGACGTCCATAAACAATATACTGAAGTATAGAAGACTATTCCCCAGGTTACTAGAGCATCACAGAGGGCGCGAGCACGCCCTACTAAACTTGACTTATGATTGATCAACTATTAATGTGGAACGTACGAGGGGTGGGCACATCAAAAGGAAGGATGGAAAAGTTAGTGAGGAAATTCAATGTAGAAATACTAGCACTACAAGAAATTGATGCTTTCCCTACAAATTTTACTTGTAGAGAAAGGTTCATATTTGTAGGAAAAAATTTTTGCATACGAAAAATGTTTGTAGGCATATTTGTGGGGCAAACATTGAGGGAAAAGGTATAAGACGATAATTTTTTTAAATTTGTGGGCTAAGGTTTTTCCCTACGAACCCTTTGGAGACAAACACAATTCGTCGTGTAAGTTTTTCCCCAACAAAATCATTCGTCTGCTAAAGTTAATTTTACCCACAAAACAATCACGCTTTTCCCTACATTGTGTTTTTTTCTACAAATAAATTGTGGGAAAAAATATTTATGACAACATGGTACGTATTATTTTGTGGGTTAAACCCTATTTACAAAAAAAATTTGTGGGGAAAATATATTTGTATGTTATTTTGAAAGAATTTGTAGGAAGAAATTAAATTATTTCATAATAATAATAATAATAATAATAATAATAATAATAATAATAATAATAATAATAATAATAATAATAATATATTGTAGTAATTTTTTTAACCTTATTCAAAATAATATAAAAAGGCCAAAGACTATAAATTATTAAACATGTATCAATCAATGTAGTATTGAATCCAAAATATTTTACCAAAACAAAAATATAACAAAATTTATAGTTCATCCAAATCCAAATTAGACAATTTTCAATTTACAGGCATCTAATAAAAGAGTAAAAAAAGAATTAACTAGTGATTCAAAGAAAATAGAGTAAAAGAATACAAGACTCTGAATTGATCATTAGCTAGCCTGCTTTTGAGTTATGCAGCTTGTAGCAATGAAATCACCCTGATGCTTGTGAAGGTGGATTAAGTAATAGATAACACATAGCCCCTCTAACTATTTATTGACCAGTTCACCAGGAATGTCTTGCTGCAGTTTTCCAATAAACCTATATAAGAAGGAAGTCTTCTTAACATTCTATAACAGAATATAGATAATAAGAGAGAAGACTCAGCATTTTCACACTATTTTAATCACTCTTAGAGTTGTTAAGGGATCAAAAAAATACGTTTTAAAATTAAAATGTCATGCCGTTATAAGATATTATAGTCATAGTTATCAATTCAAAGGCTGCTCCTGGGAACTAAAGAAACAAAGATGAAATTACTTCAATCCATCTTTACCTTTCTTTGTTGAGCATAAGATTTAGTTCGACAACTTAAAATAGACATATATTGCTGGAATAATAGTTTACCAAGAACAGAACTTCACCATAATCAACCATGTACCTTTATAAATGCCAATTTGATCTAGTCTGGTACATTAATATCGTAAATGGGGGGTTTGTAGGAATGCCTGCACCCACTGGCTCTGTGATTGGTTCACTGTGTGTCTTGACAACATCATAATAGAAATCCTCTATATGTGGTGCTCCAGAGATATCCTTCCTGTTATAGAGGATAAAAAGAAAGATGTTGGATCCACATGAAACAAAAGAACGTGATTCTTGTACATATCAAATTATTTTGTCTGGGTACCATGCCCTTCATAAAAAATCTTACGCGTTAATAAAATACCATGCATCAGCAAAATACTTTACTTTAGCAACCATGGGAACAAGAGCTTTGAAGTTATCACAATGCAAAATCGATGCCAATCCACCGGCTGAACATCCAGACAGAATGGCCTACATAAGAAAACTCAAGTTAACAATAGCAAGTAAGATTACATTTTAAGTTGGAGGAAAAAACATGAGAGAAAATCATACATTTTCAACATTCTTCATTCCTTCTTCAAGTATTTGGCCAAATATATCTCTGGTACCTGGATGGCAAAATCAAAAGAGAAATACTCTGTTTGATTGCCAAAAATGCAACAAGAAGAAGATAAGTTTCATTCTATATAATTTAATCAATTCCATTGTGATGTTTGTTGATCTCAACATCATCATTTTTACTATGTTTCAAACATAGTCACTACATCTTTTCCTATTGTATGAATTATATTCTCCTAAAAAAAATAATCAGGCAACTACTCTTATTTCCTAGGATGATCTAAAGTACAATCTTTCAATGATCCATTCTTCCGCCATATATATATATATATATATATATTAATTCCTGCACCAGATCCCCTATCAAAATGATATGCTGGTGGACTACCGTCTAAACAAACTACTACCGTCTAAACAAACTGCGAGCACAAAGCAGAAAAATATTTTGTTCTAAATGTTGACCCTTAATGTTTTACCTGCTCCTTTTGCCACAACACTTTGAACATAAGTAATATCAACCAAAAATCCTTATGTTCTTATCACAATCAGCATACAAAGAAGAATGTGGAGAAATTTTTGTAATCTTCCATTCATCATTCTGTCCAGATTTAAATGGATTCACTATTAATTCACGAAAATAACATGGGATTCCTTTTTTTTTTTTAATGTAAAATGAAGACCTAACATCTTTCCAATAATTTTTTAACTTCTAAATTAATGTAAAATTTTAATCATCATCTACTTGATTCATGAAACCAGCCACGCCTAATTTCTAAATAGATTAAGTTTTCTTTGAAGTTTCCCATAAATGTAAAATTGAAGATTTCACGAGAATCAACAGTCATTTTTAAATTTCCCCTTGAAAAATGAAAAAAAAAAAAGGATTAATGAAGAACGGTTTTAACCTCGAGGGTTTTGGCAGTAGAAGGCAAAGATGATAATAATTCAACAAATAAGTTACATCATGACATACAAAGAGAAGATTTAAACAAGAGAAATTACCACCTCCTCTTCTCGCTATGATGAACGCTTAAAACGGCTTGCTTCCATGGAGAATTCTTTTGATTTCTGAAAGTAAGAAACAATGGAAGAGGAATAACAGTTAGGTGACGACAAGAGGTTGAAGAGGAAGGTGAGGGGGTTCGAATGGTAGTGGGATCCGGTGGTCTAGGTGGCGGGTGGTGGTCGATTGTTGAGGAAGAAGGCGGCAGTTCTTCCATGGTTCTCTCACGCACAGTGATGGAAAAGAGGAAAAAGCGGCTGTTTTCTATGTTTTAAAAATTTTGCGTGTTTTAAATTGGAAAAATTTCCCACTAATTATTAGCCTGCAAATAAATCAAATTTTTTGTAGGCTAAAGATATATCTTGCCCTTCAAAATTTATTGTCTTAAAAAAAATATAATTTTTTGTGGGTACAAGCCCTTCCATTATTAAAAATTTTGAATCAAATCATATCCTTACGAAATGTCCTTTTGTAGGGAAAAGTGAACTCCGCCCCACAAATTTTAATTTGTCTGTGGAATTTTTGTAGGAAAACTATATATTTCTTGCAGTGTAGGGATTGCGGAACCTTTTCATGGGGAAGAAAAAATGAAGCTTTTGGCTTGTAAAATAAAGTTGCCAAACTTTATATCAAATAAGAAAACAAGAGGTAAGTTATGGGTTTTTTGGAGTGAAGATTACAAGGTTGACTAGGTTTATTTCTCGGATCAAGCTTTACATGAAGTTTTCATGAAGGGAGAATATAAGATGTTAGTATCGTTCATTTATGCGAAATGTAATGCTTTGGAAAGGAGGATACTTTGGCAGGAGTTGGAGAATGTTAGGGTGAGTGGCCTTCCTTAGGCGGTCTCTGGCGATTTCAATATCATTAGAAATGACTCTGAGTGAGTGGGTGGCCACCCTAGACCTCTTTAGGCTATGGAAGATTTTAACGAGTGCATTGACAAGTGTGGTCTCTTGGAGTTGCTAGTTCTAGGTAGAAAATTATCTTGGTGCAATGGACGTGAGGGCTTGACTAGAAGTTGGGTGCGGCTGGACAGAACACTGGTAAATGAGGAGGTGTTACGTGACTTCCTGGAAGCAAGTATGAAGTACATGTCGGGAACATCTGCTGATCACCGCCCTATGACTATTAACTTGCAAAAAAAGTATGCTTTGTATGGCCCGACTCCATTTCGGTTCCAACGAATGTGGTGTGAGCATGAGGGTTTTTTACCACTTGTGGAGGCAGCATGGAGATTGGGAGATAGTGGTTTGATGTTGGGTGGCTTAGAAAAATTAGCGGCTAAACTGAAGGATACTAAAAAAGCTTTGAAAGTGTGGAATAAAGAGATTTTTGGGAGAGTTGATAATGTTATTTTGGAGTTAGAATAACATGTGGAGGCTCTCGATAGCAGGTTACAAGTTGCATATTCTAATGTGGTAGAACAAGAATACTTGATATCTAAAATTGAATTGGAGGAATGGCAAAGAAGAGAGGAAATTAGATTGTTCCAACTGGCAAAAAAGAAATGGTTGTCTTACGGTGATAACAATTCTAAATTTTATCATGCTGTAGTCTTGCAAAAACGAAGAAAATCAAAGTTAAATCAGATAAAGCTTACAGACGACACTATTCTGTCGACTCCGTAGCAAATACATGCAGAAGCTGTGAAATATCTTTAGACTGTCCTTGCGAGCAAGGAAAGCGAAATTGTGCCAGATTTGTCTCATATCATTGAGTCTGCAGTTTCTCAAGAGGAAGGACAGATGCTATGTGCTTTGCTGATTGAAGAGGAGGTTCGAACTACAACTCATTAGATACCTATGGATAGCACACCTGGGCCTGATGGATATGGATCAGCTTTCTTTATCAAGTGCTGGGATATTATAAAAGGGGATCTAGTGGAGGCAACAAAGGAGTTTTTTGAAAGAGGGGTGCTTTCTCGATTTTATACATCATCCTATATAGTGTTGATCCCAAAGGTGGAGAATCCTAGCGGTTTTGATAAGTTTCGACCAATCAATCTTTGCTCTGTTGTGTACAAAATATTTTCGAAGATTTTGGTGCAGAGAATGAGTGTTATACTTTGTAGAATTATTTCTCAAGAGCAAGGAGCCTTCATCCCTGGTTGAAGTATTTTCGAGAACATTACACTCACTTAAGAATTAGTGAACTCTCTTAATAAAAAGGTTTGTGGTGGATATGTGATGATTAAAGTAGATATGGCTAAAGCATATGATAGGGTGGAGTGGCATTTGTTACTTCATATTTTATCATCCTTTGGGTTTCCGACGAGGTTTTGTAAGTTAATTGAACGGTGTATATCCACACCATGGTTCTCAGTGATGATGAATGGAACCATGCAAGGTTTTTTAAATCATCGCGTGGTCTTCGTCAAGGAGATCATTTATCCCCTTATTTGTTTATTATCATGCAAGAGGTGTTGACTAGAATGCTGAAGAGGGGTTTTGAGGAAGGACGGATTGGGTGTTTCTCAGATCCTAGGGGCATGACTGTGATAACTCATTTGTTGTATGCTGATGATTTAATCATTTTTGCCAATGGAGGGAAAAGGTTTATCAGAGAGCTCAGGAAGTTCTAGGTCTATATGAGAGCTGGTCTGGTAAAAAGATCAACAAGGAAAAGAGTGCTATTTTTTTCTCAAAAAATTGTTCTGTGACTTGGAAAGGAGTAACACTAAGGGAGAGTAGTTTTAAGGAGGGTCAATTTCCAGTTATCTACTTGGGTGTTCCAGTGGTCCAGGGTCGTTTAACTACTTGCCATCTTGAGCCCTTGGTGGAGAAAATCAGAAAGAAAATTGTAGGTTGGAAGCTTCAATTGCTGTCACTAGGGGACAGATTGGTCTTACTTCGTCATGTTCTCACGTGTATGGCTACCCATTTGTTATCTGTGTTGAATGTTCCAAAATCTATTTTTAAGAGACTCAATTCCATCATCTCATCTTTCTTTTGGGGTGAGGTTAATGGAAGGACTAGGAAGAAATGGTGTTCTTGGGATAAACTTTGTAAACCGGTCATGGGGGGGATCGGAGTTAGGAAATTTGAAGATGTCCAGCGTGCCCTACACATGAAGTTTGTATGGAAATTACTGTCATCAGATTGGTTATGGGCAACTTTTTTTCGAGCAAAATATACGAAGCATGGTTTGATTGATGTCTCCAATTTACGTTGTATATGCTCTCGATTCTGGTGCTCTGTTGTGGGATGCATCCCTGATGTGATTAATAATAGTCAATGGCAGATTAGGGAGGGTTCTATCTCGTTCTGGTATGCTCATTGGTTAGATGATGGCCCTTTGTCACGGAAAGCATCACATATTGATCAACCAACTCTTAGAATCAAAGATATTTGCTTGGATAGTGGTTGGAATATGAATCAATTACTGCAACTTGTAGGGAAAGATAAAGCCGCTAGTGTTATGGCTAAGGTGAGTAAATGTAGAGAGGGAGATGATGTTCTTATTTGGAAATTGAATAGTCAAGTAACATTCTCTTCCAAGAGTGCATGGGACATGATTAGAGTTCGACAGCCCCAAACCTCTTGGGGTAGATGGGTATGGCATTCTGCACTCCCAAAAAGAATGTCAGTGATAATGTGGAAGGCTTTTTCTAAAGTTTTAAGTGTTGATAGTAGAGTTCGGCAAATGGGTGTAGCCTTAGCTTCTCGTTGTGATTGCTGCCTTACGGGAAATGAAGAAACACCCAACCATGTTCTTAGTACAGGTGAGGTGGAAAATGAAGTTTGGAGGAAAGTTTCAGTGGCTTTGGGTATTCGGTGGAGATCTAAACAAAACTGGTATGATAGAGTAAATTTATGGTGGGCCATTGCAGGTAAAAAATCACAAGTTGGGTACTTACAAGGGTTACTTCCAACTATACTAGCGTGGAGGCTATGGATGAGACATTGTAAAGCGAGAATGGAAGGTGTTCATGAAACTGTGGAGCAGATTTTTCGTTCGATAAAATTCTGGCTGCAACATGTGTCATCCAATTTGAAAAAAGAACGAGTTCTCGCGGTCAGAAGAATTACTTCTTAGAAACTTTGATATCAGTCCAATGGTGAATCAGGAGAGACCTCTTTGAATTGTTAAATGGGCTAAA